CTCAGCCTTGACACAGGGGGGAAGGGCTTGGCCCTGCCTCATCTTGGTATGCCAGATTTTGTTGATGCCTCAATGGAGACTTTACCCCTTCTGTGGAGTGGATAGGGAGGATGTTGAAGGCAAGGGAGGGTGAACTTGAGTTGGTATGTTAAATGAAAAGTAATTTGTTAAAATAAAATGTATAAACATAAAAAAGGCATGGACACTAAAAGAAGTTAAGGGCTTTTACAAGGTTCCATCCCTTAAGTGTAAGAACATTAACCCTTAACTTCCATCCCCAAACTCTGGTTTTGTTTATTTGCGTGTTTGTTTATTTATTTATTTATTTGTGTGAGAGAGATAAACAGAGACAGAGAGAGACAGACACACACACACAGAGAAAGAGAAAGAGAGAGAGAGAGAGAGAGAGAGAGAGGGAGAGAGAGAGAGAGAGGGAGGGAGAGAGAGGGAGGGAGGGAGAGAGACTCTACCAATGTCGTCAACAATGGAAGGTTACCACTTAGGGGAACATTTGGTATCTGGGAAAAATTCATTAAGAAATAATTATAAGTAAGCTATAAATAGAAAATAGCAGGTTGTATTATTTTGTTTTGATTCTTCTAAAATCAACACAGTGCACTCAGCCAATGAGGCATATTTTCTTGTATGGTTCATAAATGAGTCTGTAGACAGTTTGGGGAAACTAGCTGTGGCATGCTGTGAGCCAAGTGACTGTAAAGGACTCCTGTGAGGCTGTTTCGTAGGATCAGGTTTGTTCACATTAGGGAAAGGCTCACACAGAAGCCCAGGTATTCTGGTTCAGGAGCCCAGGCTCTATTCATTCCTGCAATTACACAGCACTTACTGCATTTGTTTACTTTATTAAATCCAGATCAAGGACTAAGGTTAACTTATGAGGAACTACGAAATTTCCCTAGCATTTATTTTTATTTTTTATTTTTGGAGGCAGGGTTTCTCTGTGGCTTTGGAGGCTGTCCTGGAACTAGCTCTTGTAGACCAGGCTGGTCTCGAACTCACAGAGATCCACCTGACTCTGCTTCCTGACGGCTGGGATTAAAGGCATGCGCCACCACCACCCGGCTCCCTAGCATTTCTTTAAGCAGACAACAAGGCACAAGGCAGCTGTTGGTAATCTAAACAGAAAACTGCCTGGCTTCTGTATGGACCTTAATGTTAAGGGCCAGCAGCTGAGGCAGAAGGCATGTGTGTGAATTCCAGGTAACAGATGATGCCCTCTGGCCTATGTGTTACTAGAGCAAGGAGCAAGTGTTAGTTACATCATTCAAAGACCAGAGCCTTTGGGATATCCTGACAGTGCTAGTTGACCAGGCTGAACCATTTCACCCTTAGGGGTAAACACCATGTGCAGTAGGTGTCTGGATCACAGGAAATGGCAATCACATGCTCTTAATTTTGACTTTTGTGTCCTTGGTGAAACTATTACCTCCTATCAGGGTTCTCCATTTCATATCTGTGAAGTGAGTGCAGTCTACAAACTTCACAGCATGAAGGAATTAGCTTACAAAATTATCAAAAGAAGCTTTTACTCTTGGCACATTAGTGGTCATTTTTCCCCAGGTAGGTACTGTGTAAGGAAATTTCACAGGTCCCACCTTTCATATTGCAATGAGGTTGCTGGAGGCTGTGCAGAGAGACGGAAGAGTGAACCATGCATAAGTGAGAAAGAGATACACATTTCTAAACACCAAAGCTGATATCTAAGGGAATGGGAAACCAGAGGGTGATTAATACATGGTAGTGGTTATTATCTAGCAAACACAACACAAAGCTAAAGAGTGACACAAAGCAGTTAGATGAGGGTGAGGTTAAAGAAAGGTACAGTGTGTGTGATGCATATGCATGGAGACCAGAGGAGTAAGTCCCTGTTTTCTTCTCTATTTATTGTCTTGAGATAGGGGTTTTCACTGAACCTGATGTTCACCTTTCTAGATAGTCTGACTGCCTAGTGAGATTCTGGGACCCATCTGACTCCCAGTGCTGGGGGTTACATGTATTCACTGCTCTTCCTGGATATTTACATGGACACGGGGGTTGAAACTCAGGAGTTCCTGTTTTTGTTGCACATGCTCTTATTCACTGAGCCATCTCCGAAGCCCCTGGAGATGCCCTCGCTGTCCTCAACTCTAGGGTCATGTGATTCATTGACTTCCCTATTCGGAGCCACCCAGTGTTTTCCCAATTACACTGTCAGCACTCATCACACCAATTATAAATCCTTGTAACAAAGGAGAGTAGAGAGTGACACCACCTCATAATCACTGTCATTGTCATCAAAGTAAAGAAATCACTTTATTCATCAGGAAATCAATTTTCTCAGAACTCATGTGAAACGTCATCTAGCTTCCTGTCTGTTTTCCAAATGCACAGGGCTTCCTGTGCTGGCCTGTGCCTTCTACTCTTGCTGCTTCTACTTACTTGAGGAGCACCTACTTCATTTTTATTTTTTTATTCTTTATTTTATTTCTTTTTTATTTAAGTTAGAAACAAGTTTGTTTCACATGTCAATCCCAGCTCCCTCTCCCTCCCCTCCTAACCAACCCTCCCCACCAGGCCCCCCCAGTACCACATCCAATATACACTCTGATCCCCAGGTAGACTGAGGCCTCCAAGGTCGTTCTCCAGAGTCTGTCATGTCATCCAGGGTAAGGTTTTAGCCCTCCTTCAAGAGTCCACTCTGAGAGAGCATCTCTCTTGTGGGATGGGCATTCAATGTCTATTTGTATGCCAGGGATAAATAATACTCAAGGCCCCATACATTCCACTCTTAGGCATGTACCCAAAAGATGCACATTCATACAACAAGGATGTTTGTTCCACTATGTTCATAGTATCATTATTTGTAATAGCCAAAACCTGGAAGCAACCTAGATGCCCCTCAACTGAAGTGTGGATAGAGAAAATGTGGTAAATTTTACAATGGAGTACTATTAAGCGGCAAAAAAACAATGAAATCTTGAAATTTGCAGGCAAATGGATGGCACTAGAAGAAACCATCCTGAGTGAGGTAACCCAGTCACAAAAAGACAAACATGGTATGATGGTATGTACTCACTCATATATGGATTTTAGACATGAATCAAGGGAATGGCAGAATAACAATCCCATTCCCATAGAGTCTAGGAAACTGAACCTTCATCCAGCAACTAATGAAAGCAGAGGCAGATACCCACAGCTAAACACTGAACTGAACTCCTGGAATCCAGTGTTAGAAAGGGAGAACTAATGGGAAAAGTACTGCTTCGTTTTTAGACAAGCATTACATAGAGACAAGCATTTGCTGGAACTACTTTTCTTTAAAAATATTTTATTGTTTTAATATCTAGTATTCTCTACAGACTGAAATATTGAAACCCAGTACCCACCTGGTGACCTTATTTTGGGGAGGAGTCATTTTAGGTGTCATTGAAGGAGGAAGGTCATCACTAGTCATTTCCCTTCTCTGCTTCCTATCTGCCACGACACCAGCTATTTTATTCTACCAAACACTCCCCGTCATGGTGATCAGTTTGCCTCAGTCCACATCAATGAAACCAGTCAAACATGGATTAAAACTTTGAAACCAGAGACAAAATAGAAATTCCCTCAAGTTGGTTTTGTTGAGGTATTTGTCATGGCCATACAAAGATTAACAGTTTATAAATAGTAAATAGAATATTAAGGAATTATAAAAAATTAAATAATCATACATGAAAAGAAAACATTTGTTGAATTTTCTGTTCAGTGTATTCTCCCTGATAGACTGGAATGTTCTTAAACTTGACCTCAGAAACTCAGAAATCGTTACTCTCTTGTGATTCTCTAAGATTCTAGGAAAAATATATTACCCTGCCTGGCTCAGGACTAAAAGGAGTTCCTAGGATTTGAGACTTTATGTTTAAAACAAGAAAAATCTAGGTCAAACTGGTTGGCAGAGATGGTACAGAAACTTCATCTTGAATCTTAACAGACAATAAGACAGGAAGAGCAGGATGCAAGATCTTAGGGCCTCTGCTTCCAGCCATAGGTCCTTGGATTAGTCTCTTTCTGAGACCTCCATCTGCAATTGGAAAAGTTTGATTTTTTTTTTACCTTTCCAGCTATGAGATTCACTTTCTCACCAGTTTTGAAATTCCTTGGTGTCTTCTATAACCACATTCCCAATAGAGATAGTCACACAAACTGGCCATTGTATAGCTAGAGGGTTAGTAGGGATAAATTTCTGGCCTAGGGCCTTAAATACAATAACATAAAAAAGCCATATTCCCTATGTGGGGTCCACTGATATCCAGAGCCATATTAGGAACTGGGTTAAGTGCTAGTCTGACAATGGTTGTTCCTACTGTCTCCCACATCTCTCAACTATCACAGACCTACATGTCCTTTCCATTGTGCTAATCCATACTTTTCAGCCTGTCTGTGTTTGAATTTTCTCCAGCATGTTGTCTACCATGATCTGCAATTTTTTCTGTAAAGCTTTTGTCTGTCTAGATTATTTAGTCTTTATCACAGAGAGTTCACATATCTCTCACAGTGTGAAAATGTCCATGGACAATATAAAACCAAAGAGAATTAACTACATTCCAATTCACAGACTCTAAAATTTGTTTGAAGTTCACTCTTACGATTTTTTCTTTTTGGTCATATATGTGAAACAAAGGTGGCAGTTAACTTGGAAGTGTAGAATGTGCCAGGCTGGGCTTTTCCCATGACTATACCTTGTTCTACAGGATATAAGGTTAGGCTGCCTCGAATTGAAAGTCAGATGTATTCTTTAATTATACCTAAGTGGCCTTGATTGAGTTTGTTAGCTCCTGTATTCTTAGTTCTGATACGTTTCCATTTCTCTGTCTGCGAGATGCGAGTCAACTAGTGCTACATTAGTGCTGTCTTGAGAACCATCTGCTACCGTGCCTCCATATTAGTTATCTTTCTTGGTATTGTGACAAATTGGTGCCTGATAGAAGCATCTCAAGGTAAAAAAGGCTTATTTTGTCTCCTAGGTCTAAAAGGATTTCAGTTTTTCGTGATGAGAACACCTGATGACTGAAGCAATTCTGACCTTGGAGACAGGAACCTGTCACAGAGTTCTTCATACTTCCAAAGGACCAGGGAGCGAGCATACACACAGATCAGAAACAAGACTGCACAGTACTATTCAAAGTCTGTCCCTGGTGTTCCCTCTCAAACAGCTAGGTACAACTAAGGATTCCACAACATGATAAAACAACACCACTATCTTGGAATGAGGTGTTCAAACACAGGAGCCTGTGTGGAGACATTTAAGATTTAAGCCATACTACCTTGAAAGGAATATGCAACATTGCTCACTGTTGTATGGGGTGTGGGTTCATACAGACCCATAGAGAGAAAATACAGAAGCACTGTAAGGATAACTCTTTAGCCTTCCATTGGCTGTAGGTGGGTCAGCCTCTGGTGAACTCCAGCTTAGCAAAGGGCTTTCTTATCATTATGCAATTCACACCTTTAGCAAGTCAATATCCCTATACCAAAACCTCTTACCTAAACTCCCCAAAGAGACACCTCCAATGCAAATTGTAAGTTAAGGGACATCTGGTCCTCGGGAAACCTAGTTTTGCATAGGCATTGAACCCCTAAGAAAGGCTCAGAATGAGATTTACATACTTCAAGTAGAAGGTATGAACCCAAATGGTGGCAGTCACAAAAGGCAGATAAAAGCTAGGTGCTTAGTTTTGCTAGTATAATGTGGAAGTTAGGTATTTGTGATTGGTAAGGCAAATAAGCACTTTTGAAGCCTTAGCTTTAGACATGGCTTCATACTAGCTCGTTAAAGTCCTGGCTATTACTGAGTGTAGATTCTTACCTACATGGGGTTGTAACCATAAGATCTCAGGCCTCTTGGCAAAAGAATAGTTAGAAAGTTCATCTAGACTATTGCCCAAAGAATAGTGTAAAATGCACTGAGTGGTTAAGAAAATTCTGGGCTATTAATTTTTTCTTACCTTCAAACAGATCCCTCATTTTGAATCTCAAGAGCTCCTGTGGCAGAAATGGACAGGCAATCCACTGTCATTTTCATCTCATTATTGAAAAGGTGACTGGATGGAGGCTCAGGGAGAAGATAACTTCAGGTGTAACCCCTTCATAAGAATGTTACCAAAACAAATATAATGGAATTAAATAAAGTGCATGTTGCTTTCTAATAAAAAAAAAGCTAGGTGCTAACACTCCAAAATCAAACTATCTGCATAACTCTGTAAGAACTCTCACCACAGTTCACGATATGATAATGAACCCAATAAGTTTATAGTTCTTATCGCTATCTTCATATGACTCTTAAGTCCAACAATGCCTACCCTCCAGTACTTAGAAGATAAGTTTTAAACTCCACGGCAGAGATATGCAAAGCCTTTCTCTTGAATCTCACCTCTACCATTGCCTGCCTGCCTGTGAACTTTTCCCCTGACTGTCCGACTACCATATTGCTTCATATGTATTTGAGCCTCTCTGGTCCTCACTCTGTTTCACACAGAAGCCTTTTCTCTGTTTATACCTTCTCATCACATTTAAGTCCGTCTTCTTTGGTGTTCCCATCTCCTTCCTTGGGCTTCCCATCCACCACATGCTCAACTCTGTCTTCTGTCTTCTCATACTGAAATCAGAAAAGACATGGTTTTCTAAGATTCTGAGCTCATTGTAGATAGGCACTGTCAGCTTTTTTACAACATTCTCTTAAAAGTGTTTATAGCCCTGCCTGGCATGAGGCTACACATTATAAATACAAGTGGAGAAAGAAGAGAAGGAAAGGAAATGAAGAGAGGAGCAATTTGCTGACATGGGCTTGAGCCTGGGCACCACTGAAACGCCAGGGCAGATCACGTGGTTCTAAACCAGCATCTCACCACCTCTCCTGTCACCAGTTCCCTCTGGATGGAAAAGTAATGTCAAACACAACATCGATTAGTCTTCTTGTAAGCGATGTCTGGTAAATTTCAGGGGCAAAATTACTGTCTTCATCTATAGATTTAAGAGGGTTGTGTGCACTTGTCTGATTCTGAGAGTCCTGTGAGCTTGAGGATATGTTTCCATTGGTTGGGCACCAGTCTGGCCAGGCTTTTTCTTAAGCATAATTTTAAGTGATTTTCCTGGACCTTCCTTGTCACGCTAAGCATTTGGAGAAGGGAATGAAAATAAAGGTGGGGATTCTAGGAGGGCTAAATGTCTAAATCAGGACAACTGATTAATTTGCCCTTTTTTATATTTGGTATTGAACTAATGCTTCACAGGTACTAGACACACACTCTGTCTCTGAACTACATCTTCAACCATACCCCTTCTGCGTATTGCTATTTTGAATAAGAATCACACAAATTGTTCAGCCAAATAGGCTGGGTGGAAAAGACAGAGAAAGTACAGGTTTTGTGATTTCATATGCTTGTTAGGACAGAGGTGTGAAATGCATTAGTCAGCTTGGCTACCCGATGATTATGCCATTAATTGAACTCTTTAGTGTCTTTGGAATAAAAGTAAAGTACAGATGCTTTTCAAAGATTGCCAAGAGAAAGTAGGAAAACTATGGAGTTGGTGAGCTTGTGAGTAAACATACAGTAAAAAGACAGTGACACAAAGCAGGAATGATGGGGCTTGGAAGGGAGAACATGGCTTCACAACACACGGGAGTGTCCATCTTGGGGTTGGGCATATTGAATGTAAAGACTGAAGAGAGGAAGGTACCCAGGGAAGAGCCCAGATTTCTTGGCGGGGAAATTGTAGGGGTGATGACATTCTTGTGATAGCTTGAGATACAAGTTCAAATTTTAATGTCTTACTTGAGAAATTTAGGAGAATACATGTTCCAGATGCAATGAGACTTAACAACAGTGGGCTTAGCTAGAGATTTATATTTCAATAATACCAGCATGTAAATGGCAGAACTCTAGAAAATAAGATCAAGTATTAATCATGTTTTAGAAACACACCCTGTTATTTCATCAGCCCCCATAAGTATCTGAGTGTGGGCAAGATTTCATGAAACAACAGTTGCTACAGACTTCAGGGTATTCTGTCTCGGTGTGTTGCTACTGTGTCATTCACAAATACAGTCAGTTCTCAATTAATATTCATGATTTATTTGCTTGTTTGTTTGTTTTATTGCTGGGGATCAACACTTTCCCACCAACCTAAAACCTTAATCTCTCTCTTTTTTTTTTTTTTTTGAGGCAGGGTTTCTCTGTGTTGTTTTGGAGCCTGTCCTGGAACTCGCTCAGTAGACCAGGCTGGTCTCGAACTCACAGGGATTCACCTGCCTCTGCCTCCCGAGTGCTGGGATTAAAGGCGTGTGCCACGCCCGGCTTAAACCCTAATCTCTTAATTAATGTCTATATATAAATTCTTACTTTTCATACTTTTATAAATTCATTTGTTGAACAGAAAAAATGTGATTTGTTTATAGAGAGCTATGAATGTAACTACTGGTCTATGAACGAAAAAAATTTAAAATCTAACTTTTGTCAATTATTTGTACAACTGGCATGTTGCTTAGAAGAAAATATTTTCCTTGAAGTTTTTCAGTCAGAATGCTTACCAGAGTTGTTGCTTAAATCTTTCATTAATTTTTTCGATAAAAAATTAATCGAAGATAGAATTATTCTAAATTATCAGTCTCTAATGAGATTCTAAATGTATGAGTGTTGCTGAGAAAAATATTTATTTGATAATTGTAATTGTGGTGTGGATCCTATAGTAAAAATGATGACATTTTTTCCCAGAAGATTTCACCCCAGCAGTTGAATAGTTTCATTTTCAAGTGTGTCTAGCAAATTTGAGATATTATAAATAAGTCCAGAGAAGTTGGCATCAATGGCATTTCCAGTAATCATTTAAAAAAAGAGAAAAAAACTCTTGAAGTGGATATTTCTCTGAATTTAAAGGAAAGAACATTTGTTTGACCTAAAGTAAAACATTTCTGAAATCTTTTCTGGGATTTAGTTTCATTTCACCCAATTTCTGCCTTGACTCTGTATCATCCTAGGAGTTGATATCATCTCTCATACATTTAGCTTTAATTAATATGATCTACTGTTCATCTATTCCTTGAATATATAAAATAATGTTCAAGTAATGAGCTAGGTAACAGCAGTATAGAAGTTGGCTATCTCTGTGTCTCACATGTTTGAGGGGAAAGTAAAGTATGAAAAGGTAAGGACTATTTTCAGCTGCAGGACTTTTCAGAATCCTTATGTGCTTACCCACATTTTAAACTTCCAGAGAATATTCAGTCATAAATTTTTCATGTGAGTATTTCTTTCTCTTATCTCTGGAGAATACCAAACCAGAGTGACATAGGTTATTGTTCTTTAACTTCTAAAATCTACCCTGAAGATACTGGAAGAGACTATCTATCAGAACCAAATGGTGTCATCTACATAATTATAACTTGACTTTCATAAGATAATATTCCAAGGCACAGACCTTTAAAAATCTTTCATGTGCTTCTTGGTTCTGTACTAAAGAGCCTCCATTTTTATCATATCTGCCTTTGTTTGCTTATTGTTTTTCTGAAACAGGGCCTCCAGCATCCTAGAATGACCTGAAACTTCCTTCATATCCAAAGATAGATTTGAACTTCTGATCCATCTACTTCTATCTCCTGAGTACTAGGATTACAGGAGGGCATCATCACTACCAATTTATATGGTATTAGAGATCAAACCCAGGACATCAAGTGTGCTAATAAAACGTTCCACCAACTGAGCTATATTCCTGGTCCTTAAAGGGCCTTCTCCTGGCATCCGTGGAGGAGGACTGTCATGAAAAATTTGTCTCAATTCTCAGTCCCAAGAAATGTGCTCTATCTGATTGCTACTTTTGTTTCTGTCTTTCAGAAACAGAGAACCAGATTTCCCCCCAAACATCTGCTGTTAAACTGGTTTGAGCCAATTTTGTGACTTGAATCTTACAGTTTGAAGAAAGATTTTGTTCAATTTGTTTTGAGTATAACTTCATTCCAGGCTGCTCTGTTTGTTCAAGATTCTTTGATTTCCTCAACTAAAATATTTTACTCTAATAAAAGTAGTTATATTCTACTTCAGGCCTATTAAAAGTTGTTTTTATAACTTTTCTGAGTGTTGGTAATGGACATGATTGGAGAAAAGGGAGTAAATAGAATAAAAAGAGGAAGGAAGAAAAAAATTCTTCTTGTGTATACCTACGAGTCCTGCTCATCCTCCTTCTGGGCTAAAAAGGGTTTTTTTTTTGTTGTTGTTGTTGTTTTTCAACAAAGCAGTTTTCAAGAAATCTGCAGAAAACTGAATTTGTCCAATGAACACTAATAAAGATGGGTGAGAAGTTCAGCTCATGGCTTGTGAGAGGAGCATTAAGAACACTATTCCACAGTAAGTCAAAGAAGAGTCACAGACCCTGAAAACAGAAATGACTGAGCCATGATACAAAACAATTCAACAAGGAAGTGAAACACAGAAGAGTTGGAAGAATGGAGCTGGCTCTTTGAACCAGTCATTGCGTCAGGAAAGCTAAGCCCAAATGAGCAGGGATGTAGTACAAAACATGGGTGATATTTGATAAGAACCACTCCTTGTTCATATATTACTTGGATACACCCTGTACACTGGATACACCTTGTAGTTCTCTCTTCCTGCGTCACTCCCCAGCATCGTGTTCAGCATTTCCAGGGGAATGTGCAATTGGAATATTACTCCTCTCAACACCGATTACCTTTATTTCAACAGACTTTACTCTCTGTTGGGCTGAGGTAGAGATATAGAGATGTTGGTGAATTACTTTATATGTAAATGTAATCACACAAACAGGAAACTAAAGGGATAACTCAGGTGGGCAGCTATCAACGTTAGTGCTAGAAGAGACTCAAGGGTTAGCTATATAACCTAGAGTCTATAAGCTATAACACAAAAATTACCTCATAGTTATTTAGTTCAGGAAAATTACTTTAGAGTTATTTAGTTGAAGAATTGTAGCCCACAGAAGTCTAAATAAACAGTAAAACAAAGCAACAAATATCCAACAATCCTCCCTCCTCCAAATTATAGATAAGAGTCACGAATAGGATAAGACACAAAACACCTAAAGAAGCCCACAAAGTTCACCCGGACAGGGTCCTCCTACCAACCTTCTTCAGGCTCATTGTAATGGTAATCACTC